AATGAAACTGAGCATTGACGTCTGTGGCAGCCGAGACGGTCTGGGGCCGAATACCACATGCAAACCCATGTATTGCTTTGTCGAACAAACGACCCTTGTGCCATCCGCGTTCTTGGATCACAACAGTAGCTTCTCGGTGAATACATCAATGTATGACAGTGCATATTCCTAAGTGCCTGTGAATTGTAAGATCATAAAAGACTTGCCGACCGTAGCAAGCGTTAAGGCCTCAGACTCATCGACTGATGAACACACGTAAGCAACCGGTCACCTAATAAGTTCGATTGAATGTTTCAAGATGTCGTTGAATAAACATGACCCGAAACTGATAGAGGCTAGTGAGGCAATGGAATCAGACAACAGCGGTAAGTTCTGTGTACGTAGAAGGCGCCGACACAATCAATACCCTCTCCATGAATCTGACTGGACCATCAGGGTGAGAAAGCTTCAAACTGCTTGGTTGGTCTGTTCACTTGTTGCTATGTCTAAGCTTTATAAAATATGCTGGCTTCACGTGAGCGATTAACGACAGTGAATCGGTATAACCTTTTTCCGTTTTGACCAGAAAAGTAACGGAAACGGCGTTGTAGATAGAACTCAGTGTGGTGCATCAGTATATTGAATGAACCATGGAGACCAATACGACTACACCTTAGGAACAGGCACTTAGCAAGTACTTTGGTAGATGCTATGAGAACGCAAGAGGTTAGTAGTGTAAATCAATGTTTTGTGATTTGGGGGACTATGGCAATCAACAAGTTTCACAATTTGTGATTAGAGGTCAATAATGTTCATGCGTGATCAGAATGTACAAAATGTTATTCCGGAGGCGTCACATGATCTACCTCTTCTTGTGACTTCATACAAGATCATCAAGGGAACGAATTACCTGAAGTTTGTGATTAGAATAAAATATAGTGAGCTGGTCGTGTCAGGGTGGCCGAGCGGTCTAAGGCGCCAGACTCAAGAGAAATCTTCTGGGTGTTCTGGTCCATGAATGTGGGCGTGGGTTCGAATCCCGCCTCTGACAGCCTTTTCGTCGCTGCGACGGATCAACTAGCTCATCCTCGTGCGAATTCTATAAAACCATTTTGGCGACCGTTGAGATCAAGGTTCTTCAAACAGCCCCTTAGTGGATTCTCTTAAAAATGTTGTGTGATATCTTTATTTATGTATAATTTACCCTTACGACAATGCGTTCAGGGGAGCATATTCGCAACTTTTACTTAGGTTGATGCACTTTTTAAGCGGAAAACCGGAATGCCGCTCTGCTTGATCGAGTCTGTTTGATTGGTTGAGAATTTTGGTGGCGTCTATTTGAAAGTCTAACGTGTTCGATCGCAATGACCAATGAGCAGTTTGCTGTAGTGAGCCGACTCTGTTCTGTTGTGTGAAAGAATAGTTGCAGTTGTGGACAGCTAGTAATCATTTGAGCGTGCACTCTACAGCAACATGGTTAGTTTCCCCTATGGTATACC